AAGACACCTTCTCCCAAGCAGGGCGCAAAACACTTGCTTTTAGAAAATCGATTCTTGGCTTCAAATCTTGGTCTTTTTCCTGCTCTGCTTTAATATCTATACCTGGTTCCACTTCACCATCATCAACTTCTTCAATCACTTTGAGTTCAGCTTAAGCTAGACACATTCTCCCAAGCAGGGTGCAAAACACTTGCTTTTAGAAAATCAATTATTGGCTTCAAATCTTGGTCTTTTTCCTGCTCTGCTTTAATATCTATACCTGGTTCCACTTCACCATCATCAACTTCTTCAATCACTTTGAGTTCAGCTTGATGACACCTGGTTAGTTCAACCTCCCTTTTAACACTTACCGGAATTCGGCCTTTGTTGTTCCCAGTCGTCATCTTATCAAAGTTAACTGCACACTTCCTCGGTAGTAAGTAGTCCAACCCTAATATGCATTGGTCTTCAATGTCAGCCAAGTATACTTTGTATCTGTCCTTCATGCCCATGAGCTCAATAGTTACCCACACTGGTCCTCACAACCTTGCATAATGTCCTGTCACACCAAAGAGCTTCTGTATGGCTTCTGGTACTCCTTTGTGATCGAGCACCTTGATGCTCACAGAGGTTTGCTGAGATGCAGAATCTATGACAAAGTTGTACTTTTGGCCATCCACCTTTCCTGTCACGTAGACACTATGTGTGCTTGGCATTTTACACTTAGCTGTTGGGACTTTCACGATGGGGTTTGGTGGGCGTCCCTCAACACCAACCACTACTGGTCTCCCTGAGGCTGACTTTTTGATAGTATTCTTCTTATACTGGCTCCTCACATGTCCTTGCTCTCCACAGTTCCAACAACCTTTCTGGGTAGCAGCCTTTCCTGCTGTGGCATCTTCCCTGTGTTGAAGTTGCCGGCATTGAGCTCTCTTGTGCCCAGGTTTGTTACAGTACCAGCAAAGTTCCTCAGACTTCTCTGAAAGCTGTCATTTTCTGGCCTTGACTGTACCAACCTTGGTACCTCTTTGCTAGACTTAACGTAGGATTCGAATTCAAGAGCTCTGGCCATCGCATCTTGTAGAGTAGAGGGGTGTGCTTGCTTTACTTGTATCTTTAGTTGTGGACTGTCCAAGGCGTCTACAAACTGATCTCTCAGTAACAGCTTGAGGACATGGGGTGGTTGGTGCATTTGGATAGGCCTTGTGTGCCATACTTTCCAAATCCTGTGCCAGCTCTTGCAGGCTCTCCCCTTTAGCACAGACTCTAGTCCTAAACCTAACCCTGTAGACTTTGGACTGATTTTGAGTTCCAAACCTGAGTTCGAGAGTGCTCTATAGTTGTGCCTATCATCTGCTGACAACTGTCCAAGTATTTCCAGTGATTGTCCCTTCAGGCTCATTGTCAATTACACTACTTTCTGCTCCTCTATCCATCCATTCATTTCTGCCAGGAGCTCAAATTGTGCTCTATATGCTTCCCATGGTGCCTTCCCATCGAATTCCTGTGGCTTCCTTCATACTAGATCACCCCTATTGCTGACACTCATATCTGGAATGTGACTTCTGGCAGGACTAAAACAGTCTGCTTTAGGGTTTATCTGGG